AAGTTCTGAAAATATATATGTGTAAATATGAAAATATTGCTAACATATACAGGATGTGTTAAGATTCGATAGAACTTTTAAAATTAATGCATAGAGTCTACATAAACATGGGTCGAAAAATGCGTGGCTTCCGAAATACAGGGTGTTTAAATTTACTTTCTAAAATAGTTTTTGTTAAATATTTCGAACAACATTTGATGTAGAACAGTGAAAATTGGTATACAAGGGTTTTTTGGTACGACAAAAACGAACCATGTCATGCTTCACTAGTCGTGGAGTGGTAAATTTTCATAATCAACATATTTGGTCGCATGAAAATCCGCATGCAGTTCGGGAAAGAAGTTTCCAGCATGAATTTGGTGTGAACGTGTGGATTGGTATCTACCCTAATCGACTATTTGGACCCTACCTTTTGCCTGCAAGGTTAAATGCTGCGACCTTCTTGGAATCTTTAAAGGCTGAACATGCAAATATGTGGGATGATGTTATGTTAGATTTAAGAAGATTGGCCTGGTTCCAGCTTGATAGTTGTCCAGCCTCATTATTCGAGAATAGTTAGAAACTGGCTGGACGAAGATTATCCAGAAAGATGGGTCGGCCGTGGAGGACCAGTCGCATGGCCTCCACGATCCCCTGACCTAAATCCATTAGATTTCTTTGTGTGGTGATTTCTAAAAGAAAAAGTGCACCAGACTCCGTAACCACAAGAGATATGCTAATAGACAGAATCAGGAATGCATGTGATGACATAGGCCTATTTGGAATAATGCTATACCACGTTCGATCATCCGTAAATGTGAATTGTGTATTGAACAATTGGGTTTACATTTGTTAAAAATAATATTGGAAAATTAAACAAATTAATATTCGTTTTTTTTGTGTTTATTTGGAGTTAGGAATTATTGCTGTGTTTAAAAACACAATCTAAACGATCATGTAATTGCTTGTAATGACCAAATCGAAAATGTAAAAAAATATTATTTTCCCATAAATAATTAAAAATGCATCGAACCTTAAAAATCGAAATATCTCAAAAACGGCTAACTACAACGAAAACTCACAGGAGAGCTTTTTTATGTTGAAAAGTGCGAAGAATCAGTTTTTTATTCAAAAAGCAAAAATTGCACTAAGAAAAATTTGTAGGTCATTTTAATACACTACAGGTACAGTAGAGAGCGCCCTCTAGCGGCTACAGTAAAACTATGCCCATGGTTCCTTTTGTCGTACCAAAAAACCCTTGTATACCAATTTTTACTGTTATACATCAAATATTGTTCGAAATATTTAACAAAAACTATTTTAGAAAGTAAATTTAAACACCCTGTATTTAGGAAGCCACGCATTTTTCGACCCATGTTTATATAGACTTTATGCATTAATTTTAAAAGTTCTATCGAATCTTAAAGTTATGCAACAATAAACTGAAACACCCTATACATATTTATTATGTAGCGGTGTCAGTGACGACACCACCGCAAAGCAGTTGGAGTTTAAAAAGTTTTTCTAAAATTTATCATCTCTGTCTACTGTATGATCCGCAACTGTTTGTCTCAAGAACGATACCTCAATAAACTTGATCTAAATTTTTATTTATCATAGAATTTTGTTAGGTCAAAACTGGGCTAAAAGGATTGATGCGGAATAGTAAATAGTTCCGTAGCGTTTCTGGCTGTTTTATCTCATGCAGCTTGACGTATAATACTATAAAATGCTTTGGTTTATGCAGCACAAGTGGGCTTGTGGAATATCGAATAATTTACAAATAGGCGAGACTGTTGAGATTATCATATATAAGCATGCATGTAATGTCTGTTTGCTTTCATAGTACATTTCGTATTTTGCATAATAGATCGGATCTCTCGAATATAGGCTAAGCGATATTTGCTAGCAATTTCATAGAGCATAGCCCGAAATCGACGATGTACTAAAAATCGTACAGATGGATTTCACAGCGGAATTTTATTCTATTCTACTCTTTAAACAGGTACTAAACTTTCACGGTCAAGTTCAAGTTAATGACTACACAAGGATCACAAACTTTTCACGAATTAAGATCGATTTAATAATAACCAATGAACAGAATTTGAGTATTAAGGTTTTACATACTCCAAAAATAAGCGACCATTCGTGGAATATTTTTCGAGGTGTAAAATATGGTTAATAAGAGAGAATCAATAGAAATCACAATTATTGATTCCGAGAGAGTCACTCTTACAAGCCAATATCACTGAAATGTTTAATGGTAGTAGAAGAATGGAGACGAAATATGGATGAAAAAAAGATTACAGTAACATTGTTCTTAGATTTCAAGAGATCATTTGAGACTATTGACAGGGAGAAATTGTTAACGAAATTGCGTTGCTATGGATTTCAAGGTTCATTATTCAACTTATTACAAAATTATTTAATGAATAGAAGTCACAGAACTAAAATTGGCAATACATTATCAAACATTAAAAAAATTTCGGTGGTGTGCCGCAGGGTAGCAAATTAGGTCCATTACTATCTATTTTATATGTTAACGATATTCCTGATATTTTACAACACGGCACAATTCAACTATTTGCTGATGCTACATTAATAAAGACATTGAAACTGCAATAGAGATGTTAAATAACGATATGAAGATCGTAATAAATTGGTTAAATGTAAATAAACTTAAACTAAAACAAAACAAAATATATGCTAAAAGGAAAATCTGTAGATCAAAATACGATAAATCTTACAATTAATCACGGAAAAATTGTGTCAATCGAATCATCTAAATATTTGGGCATATACGTAGACAGTAAATTAAAATTTGAATATATTATTTCAAAAATATCCAAAAAAATAAATTACTTTTATAGAATTTCGTATAGCGTAAGCGTTTCTTCTAAAAAAAATGTGTACAACACCATCATTCTTCCTCGTTTGTTAGATTGTTCGACTATTTGGTTCACTGCAAATGAGACTGTATTTTCAAAATTACAAATATTTCAAAATAAAGCTATGACAATCATCTTGAATAAAAATAAATATACTAGAATAAATTTTATGCTGAAAGAACTACAATGGTTAAATATCAAAAATTTCATAGCCTACTTGGTTTTCATTTTCATATTCAAGTTAAAATATCATCTACGAAATCACTTAGAAAATTTTATTGTATTGAACAATGGGTGCCACAATTATTCTACTAGAGGAAGTATAGACTTTCAGTCAGTATTTCAAAGAGATTGTACGAATTGAATAAATTAAGTTATGATATCAAGATGTGTATCAGTTTGAAAATGTTCAAAGGGAAATTGAAAAAATATCTCATGGAAACCCAGAATTCATATTAGTGAAATTTTGTATAAAAAGATGTAGTCTTGAAGACATAATATATTTTGTGATATACTGTGTAATATGGATATTATGGACATTGTAGCGTTAATGATAAACAAATTCTTCTTTATTAATCGTCAGAGATGGAATAATCGCTTTCAACAACTTAAACTAGGAGGTATTGCCATACGTTATCGACAGAAATAAAACTACATACGATTTAATGTTCGACTATATTTGCTAATTACTTTCTCAAACATTGCTGTACTCCACATTTACGATTTACAAATAATGTAATACATGCATATCAGCACCAGAAACACATTTTTACCTATCCCAAAACACGGAAGAATCAGAAAGAATTAATGAACATCGCCTCTTTCAGAAATGTCATTGTACTGCTGTAAATCTCATTTTGATTTGATGATAATATTATGTCCGCCTTTGGAGGATTAGTGGAATCGATACTCATAAAACCTTCTTTCATTTTATTTATTGTATGGCTGTAATATTGTATACAGGGTGACTTCGAAGTTGAGTCATTTATTTTAACAGTGAGTAGATATGATCAAAAGAAATGTTTTTTTCCTTTACCATTTTTCTGGTAAAATTAAAGTAACAAAGTTATAGCCCTTTGGAAGTTTGAGTACCGCCCTGTCTCAATAATAATATTATGTGCTCGTGTTTGGCGACAACGGATATAATCCGCCTTATCGGTTCATCGCATCGGAAACGAAAAAGCGAAAGAATTTGGAACGATGTTTTTACAATTATTTTATTCAGTTGTATACGTATACAGTCAGTGTCAGTCGGTAACGCGTGAGTGAATAGTGGTGTCTGTTGCGTGGCTCAAACGAAATCAAAAATGGCACATGTTTACGAAAATGCTGAACTTGTGGACATGATTCTTATTTACGGGGGGGGGGGGGAGTCGGTTTCCCAATCGAGTGCAACCAACCCCTCGTGCCTTTGTTAATGTAGTACAAAGGGCTCGTGACTTAAGACCTCACAGGGGAGGGAATATACCGGTGCTCCAAGACCACACGATCAAATACAGGTCCGCACTGAAATACTTGTCGGGAGGACACTTTATAAAACAAGGTAACATTTTTTTTTCATTTTTTTTTATTTTTACACACATATTTTGGTTTATCTTCCTTCTACAATCATTATCTGAAAATTAATGACTCAACTTCAAAGTCACCCTGTATATAATGTATTGTACGAGGGTGGTCTCAAAATAGAGTATCCGCATTTTTGTCAAGCACAAGGAATTTTTAACGAATTTACCATTGGAAACGTTAATCTTTTGGCTATTTTTCTACATAGCCGCCATTTTTCTACGCATTATTTTAGATGAGGAATCCAAACAAATCGTTCGATTCAGTCCTTCGTTTGTCGCGAGACATATCTTCGAAAACAGCCCTCGTATATACAACCTAATCTAAATTGGGTTAACAAAGTTTCTTTAAGCTTCTGCCTGCACGGCTGCTTCGTTGCAAAAAAAAGTGACAAAGTTCATGCGAAAAACGTGGCAGTTATCCGGTCTTCAGTCTGATACGTGACTAGACGAAGTCGCACCTGGAACAACACACACTCCGCCACCCAGCGGCGTCAGGACGAGCGGAGGTGCCACCGACGCCGAAATTACCGTCCCGACGCCGTCGTCTATAGTCAGTTTCCACGGCCACCTGGACGACGCGCACCGCCGACAATCGCGAGATTCAACTGTTTTTCGAGTTAGTAGCGCGTTGATTCGCGATTGGCTATGGCATGACACTTTCGCGATTGTCAGTTGTTTTCGGGGTGCTTCTTTCGACGGAGAAAACAAAAGTGTTTGCAAGACATCACGCGAGACGTTTGTTTTTCGTTGAGTTTCATTCGCAAGAAGCAACAGGCGATACAACGCCGTTGGACGCGATCGATTGATTTTCAACTGTTTTACGCTGTTCCATTCGCAGGAAGCAGCGTTCGTTTTCAACTGTTTTCGAGTGGTTTTAATCGCAAACAGCAAGAAGTGGCAGCGTTCGTTTTCAATTGTTTTTGAGGTGTTTACATCATGTGAAGCAACAAGTGATACGAAGACACGTGCACGATAAAGTCGTTTTTCGATTGATTTCGGTTCGGTTGGAAGCAAAAAGTGATACAAAAGCATCCCAAATCATGATGCGATTTGCAACAGTTTTTAGCGTGTTTTCTCGCTAGGTGCAGCAAGTAATGCTACGCTTATTTTTCGGTTGTGATCAACGAATTCGTATAGATTTTGCGTAGTTTCGAGGTCTGTAAATTAAGTAATGATACTGTTTTTTTAATGTTTTCTACTCTCCCAAAATGAGTTTTCATTGAGGTGATTTTTCAACTTCGGGAGGAGAAAAAATTCACAAGGACCCAAGTCGGGCGAATGAGGAGACTGAGGAGCCAGAGGAATGTTTTTTACTGATCAGAAATTCATTGCAACATCCAGTTGTTGTTTATGTTTGGTCCCACACACTACTTTTTTTGGAGCTTTTCAAGAATATCCCGATAAAAGTGTTGATTGACCGTTTGGCCTTGAGGTATAAACTCTTTGTGGACGACTCCGCGAATATCGAAAAAACAAATCAGCATGCATTCAACCATCGACTTCTTCTGCATTACTTTTTTTGGCCTTGAAGTGTGTCACTCCATCCTGTGGTCGTACTCAAACACCCAAGACTTTTCACCAGTAATGACGCGTTCCAGAAAATGGGAGTCGTTTTCAATCGAATCCAAAAGGTGCCTTGACTTTTTAACGTTATTTTATAATAAATAATTAAAAATGCGTCGAACCTTAAAAATCCAAATATCTCAAAAACGGCTAACTATAACGAAAACTCACAGGAGAGCTTTTTTATGTTGAAAAGTTCAAAGAGTCGGTTTTTTTTATTCAAAAAGCAAAAAATTGCACTAAGAAAAAATTTCGGTCATTTTAATACACTGCAGGTATAGTAGAGAGCGCCCTCTAGCGTCTACAGTAAAACTATGCCCATGGTTCGTTTTGTCGTACCAAAAAACCCTTGTATACCAATTTTAACTGTTATACATCAAATATTGTTCGAAATATTTAAAAAAAACTATTTTAGAAAGTAAATTTAATTTCGGAAGCCACGCATTTTTCGACTCATGTTTATATAGACTTTATGCATTAATTTTAAAAGTTCTATCGAATCTTAAAGTTATGCCACAATAAACTGAAACACCCTGTATATTCTTCACTTCGTCTATACAATACATAGGAAATAGTTTGGTTGCAATAAAGTAGAATCACGTAACAGAATAGTTGTATAGTTGACAAACACTGAATCTTGCACTGACGCAAATGTCCTATAGGGGCTGCAAGAGGCTTACACTTTTGTTGTAAAACCTGCAGCCCGTATACAACCTCTTAAATGACTGAAGTGTTCTATTAGGTGTGCCCATTCCGCTTGTATAGCTGTTCTAAGAGGGTTTTGCTAATGTTCTTACAGTATACAATGCTGTTTAAGGAATACTGTATAATCATTCTTGCAGTGATAATTGTTAGTTGGGAAATGACTCGATCGAGTTCAAACTTGTACTGAAGGCGGATCGCATGTTCCCCTGTCCCCCCTCCAAGCGCGGCGCTTCCAGTGTTGCCGAATCGAACGCTACGTTGCCGGTCTCATTGCTTAATTCACAGACCTCGTACTTTTGACTCATTTGTCTACCAATGCGACTGTTTCGTTGTTCAATTGTTTTTGGCTTTGGTATTTATATAATAGTGCTTCTATATAATTACTTTACCATATGACTGCTAAGTTTCCGAAATTAACAAAATTAACGAAGCGCACTTTAACTGGGACGAGCACCAATCAACACATTTCTAAACTAAACTAGTATGTATAAACGTATAAAAGGGTGATTCAGTGAGGAATGCAGCAGCGATCGCTTTTTATTTTATTTTTCTAAAATACGAAGCTTAAAAGTGCAATTTCCTAATCTTTTTATCTTGTTAACAGTATAAAGGCTTAAATCTGACTGCCTGTAAAATGTGTTGAGAACAATAAAGTGAACTCTAGGTATTCTAGGAAACCAGTCGCAGAAAACTAGCATTTTATCACAATGTGATCAAAAGGTGATCGAGAGAAAGTATTGTTGCGTCTCCAAGCAGAGATAACCTCTAGGTCTCTCGTCGTTGCTAGTTTCCTCTCCAGCTCAATTCCTGCATTTATAGTGTTCTCATCAGCGAAGCTATGCATCACATTGATCGTACAAGAAATACATATGTTATGGAAGCCATGTAATCTCGGTAGACGGTTGTATATACGGTTTGATATTCATAGAATATCCAACGCCCTTTCTATGAGAAAACTCGAATAAATCAAACTGAAAAAGCTGTCTCGCAATATGCGCGTTGCGATGTTTTCCAACAACCCCGCGTGCGATGGAACTACAAAGCTTCTGCCGTTCAGTCTCCGTCGCGGGTCATAAACACGACTCATTTTTCCTGCGAGTTTCATACATTCAAACTGTCCGATAGATATATGAACTTGGCACCGGAGTGAATGGCAAACGAAGCGTGAGCAGCTTTAGTACTTTTTTACCTTTTACAAGTTTGTACTACTTGATTTAGTGACTTCTTCTGACATATCTATTTGAACGTTAATAGGGAACCATGTATGGATTTAAAAACCTAATTTTAACCAGCGCTTTATATTTCTGAGATATTTATCATCAAAAGAACATTATTTACAAAATTTTCTTTTCAAAGTTTTCCTTTTACAGTCAGGATATACCTGTCTGTGTTCTTGTATGGAACGTAATAAAAGTTATTTTTGTTCCTATTATACTAAGTGACATATAAATCCGAACACCCAGTTTAAATGGTTTTATTTTAATACAAAATTTGTATAAGTACTTAATGAAGCATAATAAGTAAATGATAAAAATTTCAAAATGATTGCACTGCTTTAAAGCCCTTTAACCTTTAATAATGTGTGGATGCACCCTGATGTGCTACGCATTCTCCAACGCGCCTAGGCATGCTTCTGATCAGATGGCCAATGTCCTCCTGTGGTATCTCATTCCAGGCAACCACCAACTCATCTCGAAGTGCTTCTAGAGTCTGAGGAGGACGTTGCAAATTGAGCAATCTCCTACCCATCATATCCCACACGTGCTCAATTGGGGATAAGTCGGGAGATCTTGGTGGCCATGGTAGCAATGTGACATCATTATGTTGAAAGAAATCTATTGTGACTCTTGCAACATGTGGTCGGGCATTATCTTGTTGGAAAGTTGGATCTGCCAGGGTGTCAAGATAGGGTAAAAGATGGGGTTCTAGAACTTCGTGGATATAACGCTGCGCGTTCATGTTACCTCTGATGAAGATTAAAGGTGACCTGGAACCATAAGCTGTAGCACCCCAAACCATAACTCCAACAGTGTGATGAACATGTCTTTCAACAAAAAACTGTGGATTCCTCCTTTCACCACGTCGCCTTCTAACCCTGGCACGACCATCATGCATGCCTAAACAAAATCGAGACTCGTCACTAAAGACAATACTGTTCCATTCCTGATCCCAGAGTGACCGTTGTCTGCACCACTCAAGGCGATTACGTCGGTGTTCTCGAGGCCAGTGTGGCCGGTATGAAAACAAGCCAAAACTTCTCATTCGTCGGTAAACACTTCGCATGCCAATAGGTCTTCCGTGTTCTGCAAACCATTCATTTGCAATGGACCTAGTAGTGGAGAAACGGTCCCTTAAGGCCAATAATCTTAGGCGGCGATCTTCACGGTCTGTTGTTCTACGGCGGCGTCCAGTGCCCCTTGCTCTTTGCGTACGGCCATGCTTGACAACACCTAACCACAGTGTCTACACTTCTTTGCACTCTAACTGCAATTGCCCGAAAAGAAAGTCCAGCTTCCCGAAGTCCCACTATACGGTCCCTATCAAACTCACTAAGTTGACGAAATCGTACAGGTCTCCGTACTCTAGGCATCGTAACCGATCGTAAAGGATTTCAAGAACCAAAATCCGCCAACGTTGATTCTTTACTGCGGCTGAAATATTCATTTTTAGAGCGTTAGTGATTTAAAGAAAAAGCAGTATAAAACCGGAATGTCCAACTGATAAGGCTGAAAATTTTTTCGCTTGTTATTTACAGTAAGATAAATACATTCACCAACTTTTTTTAAAATAAAACCATTTAAACTGGGTGTTGGGATTTATATGTCACTTAGTATATTTTTTTTATTTTTGGCTAAATAACTCGACGGCAACGGTGACGAACCCATGCATTTTCAAATAAATATACAATCGACCTACTCAAAATGATTCCTATTTTAGATTGTAGAGTTCCAATATCCCTAATTTTGATCAGGTTTATTTTTTGAAAAACTTGAACTCCCTAGCAGTCACCCGACTTGATTCTAAAATTATACTGACATTTTACAATTAATGTCAAAGTGAGTTACGCCTACCACCGAACACATTTTTCCTCCTTTAATGTAAATGTTTTGTTGGGCCTGTCTCATCGACATTTGATGTCTCAATAGTATGTAATTTTGCGACGAATGCCCTTATTGACCACCGTATCTAAAATGAATTTATTTTGCGAAAACGCGTTATATTTTTTGATTCTGTTGTCACCAAACATTTGTTAATCAAAATTGACACCTATTGTGTCAAGAAACTTGATTTCAGGATTTACAAAAAACTTATAATAAAGTCACTTGACTTAGGTATCTTATTGCTCCCAGCCATTCATTATTGTCCTCAACTGACAAATTTTGCTGAGATCAATGATTCGACAAGGCAAGATGACGTTCATATTCTGTATACATCGCTAACAGCGACATCGACAAAAATGCTTCAGGATTTAGCATTTAAAACTCAATTTTCACGCCTTCTAGGGGTAGCTTTGGGTCCAGGGGTGAGCCTCAGGGGAGCATCGATATATCCAACCACAAATTCTGATAAAATGCTGAAAAATACATGGGAATACCATGCTCCAGCATCTGGAATTTGGAACTCAATTTTTACGCCTTCTGGGGGAAAGTTTTTGGGCCTAGGGGTAAACTTTGGGGAGCATGGATATTTTTACGAAAACGCGTTATATATCAAAATTGACACCTATTGTAACAAGGAACGTGATTTCAGGACTTATATAAAACTACTAAAGTCACCTTATTGATCCCAGCCCTTCATTGTTGTCCCTAAGTTTTTTTTGATG